CGGTTTAGGTTTCGGTTACGGTTTAGGTTCGGTTGGTTGGTTACGGTTCGGTTAGGTTCGGTAGGTTGGTAGGTGGTAGGTAGTAGAGTAGAGAGAGAGAGAGAGAGAGAGAGAGAGAGAGAGAGAGAGAGAGAGTCAACAACTTGGATATGAAAATGCTCTGCGTATTTTGGTTGGTAATTGTGGATGAGGGAAGGCTGTAAGTGCCATGAATCTGGGTTCTGTTTACTTATTCGACCCTCTGGGCCCTGTTGAACCCATAAGGAGTCTTGCTTCTAAGAGCTTATAGTTGTAATACTGATCCACAGAAATGTGCCAAGATTGAAAGGGAAGATTCCGAGTTTTCTGTAAATCATGAAAAGTACCCCACAATACTGTGTGTTTTGGTCGGTTTGTAACACCCTTCCACAGATGTAGACGTCTTTTTTCCATGTGTTTTCTTTTGGTGTTACCTGATCTGGCATTCATTGGAGAATACTATCTTTTATGCTTGTTGCAATTGTTCATTGGAAAACAACCATGATTCAATTTTGAATTAAAAGGACTCTCCGTAAGACTGTTCAAATATGTGAATGATTTCGGTTTTGCATGCATTTTGTGATACTAGTAAAGTATAGGCTACATATTATGACCTCAGGTGGTGTGATTACTATATTAATTTCTACAGTTAAGCTGTATATAAGTTGCTTATAGTTGCATTGCATATTCGGAATCGGAGCTGTGCTGAGATCTAAGTTTCTCAGGCTCCTAGTGTTCCCCAAGTTACAACCTAAGAAGCTTTTCAGGAATGTTTTAGGTTCCATGTTTTGAGCGAATGTATCATTTCTACGTTGTGGAAGTTGTTATGGTGTTTACAAAGTTCAGTTTATTGACCTAGGATGAACACATAAATTCACCATGGGTGAGGATAAAAAGGATCAAGGAATTTGTTTGGGTGCCTCTTGACGCATCTCTGATAAATTTTAAGTGAGTTTGTCGCTCCTTCGACATTTTGTTTTGGAAAAGGAAGAATCTGAGTTGTGTAATATGGAGAGCTAGGGATGGTAATGGGCTGAGGGCTAGGGCTAGTGCCGGCCTGTTTTGGTCCAGTCCGGTCCTCTTTTTTTTATTTATTTTTCCGTATTTTTTTATTTTATTTTTTCTTCATTTATTTTTGGCCTGGCTAGGCTTATGGGGACAAGGGCCTGGCTAGGGCCATGGCTGGCCTGGCCAAGCCTAGCACATTGCCGCCCTAATAGAGAGAGCAAAGGAAGTATACCCTTTTGTATGCTAGGCAACCTGCCTGAGAAAGGCGGAATTGGTCAGTACTTGGTGAGAAAATTTAAATGGGATAATTATTAGACCCGGTTTCCATGCGGCCAAGCTTGCATATATAGAAATGCGGGTCTCTTAATAAATCTATTTTTGAGATGGATTTTATGACTTAATTTTTAAGAACATCTAATCTCTAACATGAAGATCAATGAATGTGAAAAATAAATAAATTTTTAAAATTTAAAATAATAATTTTAGTAAGAAAACATTTGGACTGTTAGTTTCCATTGTTTTAGATGGAATACCTACTTGCATTTATCTTTAAGATGGATGCTTTACACTTTCTGGATGACATATGTAGAAATGCGGTCCAGCCCGCATGAAACAATTTTCCATATTTTTTATGGTTTAGACTAGACATGCATCTTAAAAATTCGGGGTTGGACTTCTTTTGGGTATGAAACTTTTTCTCATGGTTTGTCGCTGACTTTGCTAGGGTCCCCATTGTGATCCTGTTAATCCAAGCTTTTAAGTCCTATTCCCTTGCACTATCGTGTGGGTCTGTGGGCTTTCTTTGGTGGTTTGATCTCCTTTTCATTACTCCCTGTATGTTCCTATGTTCCTGCATCATTAAGGGGCTTTATTTGCTCCAAGAAAGATCAATAAAAATGTCTGCTAAGTGAATTAGCGGAATATTAAGGCATCCCCTTTAAACAATTAAAATAAAGGGTTCCTTCAAATTTTGTTGGAAAGTGCGGTTTTGGTGTTGAAAACTTTTATGATGGCTTGAAATTGATATTTAGAAGGATAAAAAATGGTACTTAAAACACTTGGAAATCTTGAAAATATATGGTTTTGATAATGGGCAATGATTTCATGCACCTTTGTATAGTAATATGATGTAACAATCTTAAAAAACCATCTTATGGTCATTTGTTTGATCCAAATTTTGAAATACACTCTTTTCATTCTAATGAACAATCACAAAAAAAGGAAAAATTGAAAACGTATTTTTTTAGTCCAATTAACATCGGCTATTCATTTTGGTGAGATTGTTAGATCTAGGCTTTAGAAGGGTTTTTGGATTTCTAATTTTTTTGGATGGCTTTATTATCATTAGATGAACAATGTTAAAAAAGAAAAAATATGATTTTCAGTTTATAAAGGCTAAGATCTTGAAATTCACAAAATGAATGGTGTAGATTCTTTTTTGGAGGGGATTCATTTTGACAATATCTAGGGTTCAAAGTGAATTGTTTTTTTTTTTGGAGGATTGATTATTGAGATCAAGGGAGTGTGTGTGCAAAATTTGGGGTAATACAAATACCATAAACATGGTTTTCTAGAAGTGTTGTTGCATTATATTATGATACAACCGTTGCATTAGATCATTACTTTTCGATAAATTACTGTTAAGATTTGAAATCTTTTTATTTTTTTTGTTTTTTTAATAAACAATGGCCACAGTTTTGAAAATATAAAAATAAATAAATGCTGCTACACTGAAATTAAGATAAGAAAATTCGTTTCTAAATAAATATGATTGTCTCCATTTTCTTTTTCTATTATTTCCAATTCATAGTTTCCCCCTTTTCTATTTCTATTTGTTTGGTTTTTTGGATTAAATACCCATATTTCCGACATTATAGCCAGTACATATGTAACCTTGTCAACCCAGGCATGGAGTACAAAATACCAGGAGTTAGTGGTACTCTTTGTATGTTGCTTGTGGAATTTGAAGGGATATAAACCATCAGAATTAGAAAATTCTTTTTCAACAAGTAGAAGATAGTATTATCGGTTGTCTTTTACATAGCTAAGTATGCATAGTTCGCCAAATGTTTTGGTCCGTGTAAACATGCCATGCTAGTTCACTCATGGCTTGGCTCCACTCGATCTGTAATGCGCCCATATTCATATTTTTGGGTAAAAAAGTCGACCTGAGCCTGCTAACTTGTTGATTAAAGATAGAAATTAATATGAGGGTGAGGCTTTAGACAATCAAATTAAAGAGCATTTCAAAATTTCACTAGAAGAAGTTGTTTAGATGCTGAAAAGCTTTCAATTCGATCTTCTCAGCATCAAGATGTATAGACATGAGAAAAAATAAATTTCAAATCTTGGAAATAATGAATCTTGCTATGTATTATCTAGTTTGTCAATTTTCAATATTTCCAAATATTCATAGATCTGCTGGATTTGCACTATTTTTTACTTTTATAATTACACATGAAAATAACTTTTTGGGCCATCATAAAGATTTTTGGTGCTGAAACAACATGTTTCATCACTATTTGAGGGTGCACCTTACTTTGATTAGGTCCTCAATCTTATACAAACCACATCCCTCTTAACGGTTCAAAAATTTCTCTCCTTTTTTTAGGTTGGTTAGTAGGTTGAGTGCGTTACATCCTCAAAATTTTGTCCTATAAAGATTCCTAGCCAAGGTTTAACCCGAGAGAGCAAATCTACATTTTAATATTACGGGCGCATAAAATATTTTCAATTATATAATGTAGATAATATATTGTATATTGCTTTGTTCATGTGCTTGTGCTCTGTGTTTGGCTTGTTTGTGGCTGGATTTCTCCACATTTTTTAGATGGCTCAAGTAAACGAGTCAAACCTCAAGTTTTCCTTCCCTATTAATCATGCCAAGGTCAAACTTGGTAGCTTTAGATTGAGTCAAGCCCAAGCTAAGCTCAAGTTGGGTCTTTAACCCATGCATGCAAAGATTGAATTCACTTGCTCTTTTGGGCCTTTGGGAAATTGACCTACTTAAGAGGATTTTCTAGATTTAAAATTTAGGGATCCACCTTATAATCACCATGAGAGTTATTGTATATTCTGTTTCTTTTTGAGTTGAACACCTGGTGTTCAACTTTATAGCATGATTTTCTTAGGTACTTTCTATTCAAAATTATTTCTTCCGTTTTAGGTTGATTGCCAACTTGAGTTGGTTACATCCCTTGATCATGGGTCCCAAAAATACTTCTAGCATGGTTTTATCCCAATGTGGCAAATGTGCACATATAACCAAAAAGTACCGGCCTTCAACCGGTTATGAAGAGTTCCATCTTATTCTAGGCCCTAAAAGGATTTTTCACCCATATAACAAGGTTTTGGCCTCAGTTATCAGTTATGATTCAACTCGGTTGAGCTAGTAGCTCTGGTCCTGTTCTGATAATATTGAAATTGGAAACCTTCCCCAACTGATAAGGAGCCTAGGGATAATCCAAAAAATTGTCACACAAGATGCCACATGACATGTGATGGAATGGAATTTATGCGGAATGATTTTCAAACCAAAAGTTTACATGCCGGCGCAGGAGCATATCACTCATTTATTCATTCAGGTATACCTCCTTCTAAGAAGTATTTGTAGCCTTCAAAAATCTATAGATATACAGTATGGCTTTTGGATGGTCAGGTGCAAGTGTTTGGGAACTCTAATTCAAAATTTTATTTTATTTTAGTTTTAAAATACTCCTCCACTGATTCTAAATTGGATCCCAAAAATTCAGATGAAAAAGGAACCTTCTTGAGTAGTGCTTTTACCATAGACACTCATTTCCAAAATTGATGAGAAATCGTCAAAACAATAATGTTGGGTAGG